AATGAATTGCCCTTTGGGATCAATAAAGTTTTCTGAATCGGAATCTGAATCATGGATTTTGCTTATTGCTGGATATTTTTAGAACCTAACCTCCCCGCACAAGAAATGAGAACCTTTGTATTTTGTTATGATTGGTACTTGTATTTAGTCAGTCTTCCCACTTGAAAAGATGAGTTGCCTGTAATTGTCATTACAAGGATTCCTTGAATTGACATAACGGAAAAATGAGAAGAAAAAAAATTAAAATATGAAATTGTCTGACTTTCGTAGAAGTTATTTGTAAATGATGATGGAAAAAAGTATGTAAGCAAGACTATATAATATGTCCTTTGTCGGCAATAACAGATGTCAACATTTTCTGCAAGGTCTTCAGACATTGTTGCTGGAATTCTTGCCCATTCCTCCATGCAGATCTCTAAGTGGGAGGACTTGCAAAATTGCTGGCTGACTAAGCATCTCCATCCAATCCTCTTTTCAAAACACATGTACTTGTTCATCTGTTTGTCATGTTGAATTATGTAAAAGATGCGCAGGTTTGAAATAAATTAACCCACCGCAGGTCACACTCAGCCCACTCTTGCCACGAGCCCGGTTGAAGGTAAAAGATACAAGACATTCCAAACATGAGAGCGCTGATGGAGGCTCGCGGTCAAAGGCCAGTGGATAATTGAGCTGTGTGCAGGCGCAGGTGAAGTCCGCAGAGGGAGGAGCGCACACACTTTCACCAAGAGCTGCTGCACATTCAAATGAGTCGCATCAAATATTACTCAAAGAACGACACACAGAGGAATATCACAGTCAGAGTTCACAACAGCAGACGCTTCATTAGATTGTGTTGCGTTTTACACGGGGCTAGTATCACTGGGAGGGTTTCAGGAAGCAATAAAGTTGGAATCATCGAAGCTGCCAATCAAGTTTAGAATAGGTGGATTTAGGCTAGTTTTACTTAAAGGTATATAGGAGGATTTTCCCAAATTTTAGGAAAGAACCGCCCTCTCCACTTTCAGAATAAAAACTCTGTCTTATTTGACACGCACGCATCACCAGAATGATTGACAATTAGGAGGACCAATAGATACTTTATTGACCCCACGTAGGAGAAAGTCAGGGGTCCAGCAGCAGAAAACACATCCATATAAACACATAAGTACATCAATTATAAAACATTTCTAACATTTCCAACTAACTACCTAACAACAGTGCAAACATTCCGTTCGGCAGCGCAGTGATATAAGCCTGTTGCTACGATGAGCCACCTGGAAGTACAAAATCTTCCTATATACCTTCAAGCCTCACTTTCTATCAAAAAATAAGTTTTACATGTCATAATTGTGGAATTAGAAGGAAGTATTGGTACATGGACAAAAGGGAGTAATGTCATGGAGCAGGTGATGGGGAGAGGGGTAGGATCAGAGGGTTTAGGCCTGTGACATGTTTGAGTGAATTAATGTGTGACTGGATGAATTTTTTCTTGTAATGTATTGTGTTGAATGGATGAGGGGATGGTTTTGGCCATGTTGTTTCCCTTGTCATTTACACACACTGTTTTAGCACAATGTTTTGGGCACAATTCCCCCATGTTCGAGTTTAGCATCTTGCTCAAAGGAAACTATATAACCATGTTTGTGCAGAGCCTCTTTCCTGAGCCTCTGTCGAACGTGTGAGGCTAAGAGGCACAAGGGGACGTGAGCAGGAGCCAAGTGACTCATTTATTAAATATATGGTATGAAATGTTGGATGGTTCCATAATGTTGTTAGCTCAAAGTGCCACAAGTGTCTCATCTTATAATCATATTGGAGAAATTAGAATTGAGATACCAATGAGTGACCATCAGCTTCACCCATGTCCAAACCTTATACTGCGTCAATTTCTGTATGTTTTACAATTAGTGGTTAGAACTAGGGATGCACCGATCCGATACTGGTATCGATATCGGCGCCAATACCAGAAAAAATACTGGATCGGATATCTGCGTAGAGAGAGGCGCCGTGCTGCCTATATAAAATTATATATATTTTTTAATACATACCCGGTACCGCACAATGTCTTAAAATACATTGTGCATAATGTACATATACGTATAAAATGAATTAATTAAAAGTAATTTATCAGATCTGACGTACACGTCACTTCCTCGTGGCGCTCTACAACAACACAGCATGGAGCGCAGGAAAGAGCGTTGTTCACGCGGCGGTAAACTAGCGAAATACAACACGACTAAGCACCACGAGAAACAGCATGGGGAGTTTTTGCATCGAAAGGAGATTACGTGAAAACAACGAGACACAGATGACACTGACGCAGCGTCACAAAAAGCTTTTCAGCAACAACCCGAAAGTGTTGGAGTTCATCAGTTTGGGCTCGCAGCCCCATAGACCATTTGGAACCCAGGTACATGCCGTCGCCAAATACATATCTGAAATCCAGTTAAAGCTACAGTACTATTATTTATTTACATTTTCATGCAGCGTGTTTTGTTTGTGTTAAGTGTTTATTTATTCAAATAAATATAAGTACATTTATATTCAATAAATGTATAAGGTATAATACAGTGTTGTAATGTTTAATGTGAACATTGAGCAGCTCTTTATAGTTGCAGTATTGCACATTTATGTTGAATCCATTTTTATCTGGAAAGTTTAGCGCTTTAGTTCATCCACTGCTTTTGCAGTTACGTGAACAAAGAGTTAAATTATTAAATACATTTTAGCATGATCATTTCCGGTATCGATCAATATCGGTATTGGCAGAAACCCATAGCTCTGGTATCGGTAGTAAAAAAGCTGGATCGGTGCATCTCTAGTTAAAACCTTGTGAATGCCAGTCGCACTCCTTCATTGTTCCACTTTATGGGAGTTTTGGGACTACATTTTGGCCGGCACAGTGGCTGAATGGATAACACTCTCGCTTTTCAGCAAGAAGGTCCTGGGTTCGAATCCAGATCGGAACAGGGCCTTTCTGAGTGGATTTTTTGTGTTCTGCGTAGGTTTCCTCCGGGTACTCCGGTTTCCCCTACCACTAAAACATGTACAATAGGTCTGGTATGCGCCTCCTGTATTGGCGACCCCGCTCCCATCTCTGTGTGGAGAGAGAGACAAATGCCCACAATTGTAAAGCGCTTTGTGACTCTGGTCTGTGAAAGGCGCTAAATAAATAAAGATTACTTACATTACACCTTCTCCCTCTTTGAAATTTTCCAATCCGGTTTCCGTCCCCATCACAGCACCGAAACAGCCCTCCTAAAAGTATCCAACAACCTTCTCCTTGCAGCTGACTCCGGTTCCCTTTCCATCCTCTTCCTCCTTGACCTCTCCGCAGCATTTGACACCATCAACCATTCCATCCTCCTTCACCGTCTTCAATCTATTGGCATTTCCAACACTGTTCTATCCTGGTTTTCTTTATACCTCTCTGACCGTCATCATTATGTTTCCATTAACAACTGCACATCCCCAAACCTCCCCTGTCTCCACTGGTGTTCCCCAAGGTTCGGTACTAGGTCCCCTCCTTTTCATCATTTACATGCTTCCCCTTGGCCACATCATCCGTCACCATGGACAACACTTTTACTGCTACGCCGACGACACCCAGATCTACATCTCCACCAAATCCATCTCCCCAGTCATCCTCTCCACCATCACACACTGCATCTCTGACTTCAAATTCTGGTTGGACCACAATTTCTTGAAACTAAATAGCAATAAAACCGAACTCCTCATCACCAGACCCAAGTCACTCCTTCCCTCTGCTCAAAACATCTCCCTCAACATTGACAGCCACAGTCACTCCCTCCGCCTCTGTACGCAACCTCGGCGTTATTATGGACTCCACCCTCTCATTTAGACCCCACATTCTCATCTCCAAGACTTCATTATTCCACCTCCATAACATTGCTCGCCTCCTCCCCTCCCTCTCTCAATCCTCTGATGAAATACTGGTTCATGCCTTCATCACCTCTAGACTGGAATACTGCAACAGCCTCCTCTTCGGTCTCCCCTCCACTCATCTTCAAATACATCCAGAACTCCGCCGCCCGCCTTCTCACCCACACCAGAGACCACATCACCCCTCTCCTCAAACAACTCCACTGACTTCCTGTTCCATACCGCATCCAATACAAGGTCCTCCTCCTCACCTAAAAGTCCCTCCATAACCTGGCCCCCTCATACCTCACTGACCTCCATCATCACTGTCCCTCCCGCCGCCTCAGATCCACAGACTCAGACCTCCTCACTCCCCTCAGGACTAAACACCGAACCCTGGGGGACCGAGCCTTCGCTGCAGCTGCCCCCACTCTCTGGAACTCACTCCCTCAACCAATCAGAAACTCAGACTCACTACAGAACTTTAAATCTCTCCTAAAAACCCACCTGTTTCAGCTTGCCTTTCCTTAATTTTGTTTTTCAATGTTTATTTCTATGTGTTTTGTAAAGCGTCTTTGAGTGTCCAAAAAAGCGCTATATAAGTTTGATGCATTATTATTATTATTATTATTTTGAGTCGTCACAGAACCGTATCCTACAGAATTTCCCCTCCAGGCAACAGCTCCAGGACCATCAAGCACATAACTCTCCCACAATCCACCAGAGAGGAGGAACATGGGGGGCTGTCCTCTACCTTTCTGTGTGGAGTTTCAACACTTCTCTCTGGATGGGTTTGCCCCACCTCTCAAAACGTAGGTCAAATATGTTTGACCCACGATTTGGGGACACCTTATTAATTGCCAGCCAAAAGTGTTGCCGTACAATTCAAAGGTCTAGTTTAATGTTAAGACTAAAAAAATGTTCAAACCACGTTTATTCGATTATTATTCTCTCAGACGTAGACAAAAGTAATATAGAACTATTTTTATTGCAAAATAAATCTTGTTCTTCTTCATAATTTCTTATCAAAACAATCAACATGCACATAAACACACAACACATCAGATTAGTTAGTCCAAAACAAAAGTGTCAATAGTTCAAAACACAAGATTGGAACTGAAAATGTAAGAGAACCGCTAACATTCTGTGGATTTGAAATGATTGTCGTCGATGGTGGAGAAGACGTGACCTTCGTTTGTGAGAAACGCCAAGGACTTCCTGTAACGACACATGAACACGCTCCGTTCATCTCATTTGGAACAGTACAGTTGGGTCTGATCGTGACATTAAAAGGTGATGTCTGTAAATTCAGTATTTTTCATAATTACTATATTCAATAAAGTCCCTCCCGTTGGCATAACAACCACCAGTAAGATTTGTAAGAGGAGAATAGTTTGACCAGTCCATCAAGGATTTGAATTCATTCGTCCTATCAGGAACCTGTGGGGGCGGGTCTAACTGGTGCTTGCACTTGACAAAAAGTCGGCTACTGGGTCGTGTGATGTCCTCTTAGAACTTCCTGGTTTCAGCACACAATTCTGAAACTGGCTAGGTAAGTGTGTTTATTTTTACAATGCGAGTATTATATCACAATATAAAACTAAATGTTATGAGAAAGAAGGAAGAGCTCTGCAAAGGACTTAATTGCAATTCAATGTAATTTTTGTGATTTGCCACCAGTTACTTGTCAAATGTTGATTTCAGATTGAGATTGTATCGAACCTGTTAATCTCTTACACTTCCTGCATAAGATTATGGGGAATAAAATCTGTCAAACTTGAGACTAAATCTGTTTAAGTCTCAAATGGCTTGACTCTTTGTGACGCTGAGGTCAGGTAGATTTGGCCTCTTTTCCCATTTATAAGTAGTGTAAATTTGTTATCAATCTTTGCAGAAAAAAAATCAACTCCAAAATCCAGCTAAAGTCTTTTGATGACTATAAGCTTTGCTATAGCTGGTGTTTTGCGATTTGCTTTAAAAGAAAACCACACTTTGGGTTTTCATAATTTCTCTTGTTTGTTGTCGTTTGTCTTTTGCAGTTTGAATTGTCTGGCCCTGGTTCATCCCAGATTGTTTGATTTGACTGGAGATAAGATACATATTTATTTCGATCCTTCACATTTGGATGAGTTGGATGGTTGTTTTGAATAATTAGACAGAAAGCCCACACAGGTGGCCGAGTGAGTGCAGCAATGGTACCTTATGTCCGTCTCATTGATGTAGTCCAGCAGAGTGACCAAGTCCTGGAGGTGGATGCCCTCGCTCTTCCCAGAGTGCTGCTGGATCACATGCAGCACCTGCCAACACCGCAGATTTTTTGACCATTCACAAAGATAGGTTTTTATCTATTTTGAGAGTGTGAACATAATAAAATAACTGAATGTAGTTGACAGACCGAGGACTGAGTTAAGCTACAAGAACAATCATTGACAAATGGTATTATTATATTGAAAGAGAAACCAATGATATCACTAAGTTTTATTAAGACCACATTCACATTTGCTTTTATAAATCTTTAATTTAACCTTAGGTACTTTACTTTCAAACCACGAATAATATCTGTGTAATAAAATTGATCAATCCAGTTCCTCGCTCTCAAAGGTTCTATTTCTATCTATTTCTATCCGTCACATGTTTAGATCAGCTTTTGAAGGTGGAAGAGGGAAAAAGACCACCCTCACTCAGCTCTCAGCCCAAGGAGTCACACTAGACTTTTTCTGTTGGGACTAAACCAGTATTATTTTTTGGGGGGAAAAAGTTAGGTACCCCGAGCTTCAAGTTATAATATAATCATAAATAGGGCTTTTTAAAAACAATTGCCATTGACCACCGAACAGGTCCCCGTCGTTACCTATGTAAACATATAAAACATGTATTAACTGCTGAAAATATATCAGTATTCAAAGAGGTTTGGGTGAGTTTCGTTTGCTCCTTTAGCCCTGGAACATTAAAAATATATATTTATTCATTTGAGAAAACTAACCTGGCCCTGAACAATGGAAAAGCCAGCTGTGTTGCTTCCTTTATGTGTTTGTGGTAACACGTTCATGTTCACGTCACAACCCTAAAGATTATACGGCAAAATGTACACAACATTAAAAACACATATTTTCTAATCTTCTTAAAACAAAATGTAAGTACTGCACCTTCCCAAAGAGCTGCTGATGCGCGTACACCACTTCTAACATGTGGGAGGTGATCTCGTTCAGGTCTGAGACACGGCGGATTCTCATGGCCATCAGAGACTTTTGACCCTGGAGAAAAGCAGGATGTCGTGTTGCTAAAGCTGGGGGTTGTAACTTTGAAACCATGAAAACAAAAAAATGTTTGTTTGTTGTATTGACAATTGTTTTTTTAACGCTTGATCCTCAACAAATTCCCACAAAAATTACTCAAAAACCCATCCATCAATCCATTTTCTTCCACTTCATCCGTTGCCGGGTCGCGGAGGCAGCAGTCTAAGAGACGCCCAGACTTCCCTATCCACACACACTTCCTCCAGCTCATACGAGGGGACCCCAAGGCGTTCCCAGGCCAGCTGAGAGACATAGTCCCTGCAGCGTGTCCTGGGTCTTCCCCGGGGCCCCCTCCCGGTGGGACGTGCCCGGAGCACCTCCCCAGGGAGGCGTCCAGGAGGCATCCGGAACAGATGCCCGAGCCACCTCAACTGGTTCCTCTTGATGTGGAGAAGCAGTGGCTCTACTCCGAGCTCCTCCCGTGTGACTGAGCTCCTCACCCTATCTCTAAGGGAGCGCCCAGCCACTCTGCGGAGGAAGCTCATTTCTACCGCTTGTATCCGCGATCTCGTTCTTTCGGTCATTACCCAAAGCTCATGACCATAGGTGAGGGAGGGAACGAAGATTGACCGGTAAATCGAGAGCTTTGCCTTTCGGCTCAGCTCCCTCTTCACCACAACGGTCCGATCCGCCTGTCAATCTCACGCTCCATCCTTCCCTCACTCGTGAACAAGACCCCGAGATACTTGAACTCCACCCACCTGGAGAGGCCCCTTTTACCAGTCGAGCACTCAACACCCCCCCCAAAAAAAGAAAAAAGAAACACGACTGTTGGGACAAACAAAATGTATTAACCAATGTTTTAAATAAATCTTACCTGTAACTCACGCAGACTGCCGTGCACTTTCACATACACTCCTGGCTCTGGCTCCAGGGGATCAGACGACTCCTGACCACAAAGAAGTGATGTATTTATTTATGTTAACTTATATCAGATACATTTTCCCCAGTGTAGCTGTTTGGTGAACAGGCAGAACATGTATATTTTAATAATATTACATCAGTGTTTGCCAAAAGTTTAAACTTTTCTACCCGGTTTAGTTTAGTTTCCTGTAGTGTCCTTTTGAACAGAAATGAGTTGATTTATTGTTTTTTGTTCTTTATTTGGTAAAATTGCGAAAATTCACAATTTACAATGTTGTTCCTGTGCCGTTGTACATGCACACATCCATGCTGATGTCAGGAACTTCTGGCACAAACATGTAACTCCGCCCTTCTGTCTAAAAGCTCCTGTCTCAGACCTGAACTAGTATGATGTCATTGTACCACTGTGACACCATGTTCAGAGCAGCATTGTAAAATTAGTATTCATGAGTTTTGGTCTTGTTGCTAAAATACGGTCATTTATAAACTTGAGGGGGAATAGATTCAACCCTCCCTTTGGTGGTAGCTTAGGGATAAGGCAGGTCGACCCTGACAATACCATTTCACACTCTGAAATATTAAATGACAAAGTATATCTGTGACAAGCGGACACATGTGGTACAGTCCTCGTTCTACAGCCTGAGTCCTCAATCTACAACCTGTCCGTCTGTGCGGGGTGGTTCAGCCTCTCAACATGGGCCTCCCCAAGAGTCTTTCCATGAAGATGCAGCAGGGTCTAAGGACAGCGAGTATCCATGACAAGATAAACTTTATTGATCTCACAATGGAGAATATTCAATTGAATGAATGAACTTTGTAAGCGTTGCTTCCTCACTGTTTTGAGACTTCTTTCAAAAATCAAGTCAATGGGACAGTGCAGTGCATAATCACCGAGTCTGTATTGGTCCACTGGCGGACGGTCAGGGGCGGCCCGGTCATGTCGTCCACACAGAACTGGTTATAAGTGGCACAAGGGCAAGAGCTGCGGACTATGCCCACCACCGACACCTGCGGATGGACAGAACATTATTATACACTTTATCTGCAGTTAACAACGAAGGGTTTGAGTAGACCTTGTAGATGGAGTAGGTGTGAGCATATGTCATATTAATGCTGAAGTAGATAACTTTAAGACAACTAAAATTGAACTGAAACAATGCAATGAAATTCATGTCTGAAAATAGTTCTGTCAAGTATATTTGGCCTGTCATATCTTTACATTGGATGGTTCAGACAAAAGTGGGAAGAAGGACTATAGCCAATCAACTCTCAATAGTGATTCACAAAATGTAATCCAAACAAGATACAACTGGGATAAACCAAACGTATTGATGAAATAAAAAGAAAGTTAGGTTGTATGCACTCTTAATAGTCTAATAAAGTCATTAAAATTACAATCACACTTTTGCGGTTAGACTCGTCAGCTCTCCACAGCTCCTCAGATGGGGATGCGACTTTGACCAAAGATCCTCCACATACATAATATTGTTATATATGTTACTTTTATTTTACTATCACCAACAACAAAGAATAGTTATGATGGGTTTGTATAATTATAGCATGCAAATAAACGTGATTAGACAGAATTCTAAATGCTCCTTTAACACCAGAAAGCCATGAAAATGACAGATTGCAGCGATACCTGGTGGAGTTCCAGGTCCCCGATTGCAAAGGCCTCGTGTTGGAGCAGAGAGGAGCCCAGCAGCTGCGACACGGTGCAGGGCAGAACCTGCAGAGCGCTCATCTGCAGAAACATACACTTTGACTGGACCACTCAGAACTAGCTTAAGCTTTGTATAGAGATATATGGACTATCGTATGAAATTGATTGATTTTATGGTTAGTGTCAACTCATTTTCAGTTAGTGATTTCATATGATGTAAAAGTGAGGTGTGGTTGTAAAGTGCAGGTGTGATGCTGTGTGTTTGTGTCCTCTATAAACTATTGTAGATTCCTATATTTTCATGTTACCGGGGACTACAGATAGAAACTATCTGTGCAACATAATCTGGTGCAGAATCTGTCTCTGAGCTGAACGCCGCGATATACACTGTCACTTTCAAAGACTAAAACTAAATTAACTAATGCATTGGTTTAATACAGTGCTTTTCAGGACACTTAAAGATACTTCAAATGTCAATATTCTTTCGCTCCATACACGGTGGTGATAAACTACTACTGTAGCCATAGCTGCCCCGGAACACACTGACAGAAGTGAGGCAACCAGTCTGTGACATCATCACACACACACACACATCAGACTCTTTCGAGGCAATGTGGGTGAAGTGTCTTGCCTAAGGACACAAGAACACCTTGGCACTTTACAGCCGCCCCACTGAGGCACCTGGTATTCCAGGTCTCCCATCATGGTACTAACCAGGCTCTGCCCTGCACAGCTTTTAAAAAGTGATTAAAATGTGAGATGTGTATGTAAATAAATATGTAAATATGAAAAAAGCAATGGGGCCGAGTGTCCCTATTGTGACGTCTTCACAGAACAACTTGCACAATAGAATATAGTTTTTTATACTTTCTCTTCTAAAGTAAGATTATACTTATAGAGTTCATGTTCACTCATTTTGTGTTGTGTGCTCCTCATTCCTCAGTCCTTGTGATGCAACACAATTTGAAATTTCCAAATAAACTACGGCTTAATTTTAATAGATTTCCCTTCCTCCATTTTTACATCAAAAGTATTTAATTTACCTTTGAAGATGTTTGTTGATTTACCAAAATACATTAGTAAATTATTCACAAAAGTACTGGTCACAAACACAGCCTAAATACTTTACTTTCAGAGCAACTTTAGCACAGTCCAATAGTCGTCTAGATCGGATGATTTATTAACATGTGGATCAATTAAGATTTCTACTTAAAACTTTAAATGTACACAAAAAAATAAACAATGAAGAAAAGAAATCAGTTAAAAGTACCGTTGCTTCTAAAAATCTATGGACATTTATCAACAATGGTCATCTGCCTCTTATGGACCAATGGATTGCATTGAATTGATATCATCATTAAATAAGCCAGAGAAAGTACAGAAAACTGCTCTGAAATGCCCTACAACCATTTTTACTGTCACTTTTGCACCAAAGATGTATATTATACCCACTCTCTTAGCTTTGGGTGCAGTGTTCCAGTCTGGGTTGTCCTTAGAGCTGCTGTTAAAAAAACAAAAACATACAGATTCAATACTTTAAAAAAAATTAACTGAAACTATAATTTGAGTAGTTTTACCTTGCTCGTACAAGCCAAGAACAGGGTTAGGGTTTTTACGGAGGCTCCAGAGGAATCCAAACCTTGTGCATTTGGAAGCGTCAGGTGGAGTGAATTACAGCAATCAGGACAAGAAAGGACTGACACCAGATTGTTAATTTTATTTATTATTTATTCCAATCCATCAATGCAACAGTGATTGACAGGTTTTTCAAAATATGTAGCGTAATTTTTGCTCAAAAAGTGAAGGAGGTTTTTGTTGTATTTGGGAATTTACAGACGATTAATTGTTATAGGCATCAAGTCATTTACGGCTTAAAACGTGGGTTATTGTTACAAGCAAACTCTGAAATGTATTGAGAAATTTAACTGATTTGAAATGTGCCAAAAAAAATACACAGTAATTGAGTTTTGTTAACGCTTTTTGTTTTTCTCAAAACTTGACCAATTTGGAACGTTTGACCAAGTAGTTTGAAGTGTATTAGTGCTTGCTCCAATTTAGAAGGAAATATATAGAAAAATACTCCTCTTAACCAAAATATACTTTCTTGAAATCAAGTTAAAGCTAGGGTACTTAAAATTAGCCTCTCTTTTCACTATTTTGTCTGAAAAAGCTTATCTAAAAATGCAGCATAAAAGGCATGTATGAGGAAACTAGTGATGGAGCCAAACTTTGAGCACTGGTCAAAACTTCTGTCATTACATATGGATTTTATTAGATATGTTTCTGATTTGAAAGTTAGGTACCCTAGCTTTAAGTGTTTGCATCCACATTCCCCTCGAGTGAGGAATATAGTATACGGCAGTACCACTTACTGCCACCAGGGAGTGCCCAAATCCCATTCACAAGTCAAACAAGTCCATCAAGCCAAGCGTTACATAAACGTTATCACTTGATGCCTAGACAAAAAGAAAACACACCATTTCTTATCATTTGGTTATTCCCATTGTTGCATTTAAGTCCAGTAGCTTTAACCAGTTCCCACGCTGTTATCAGAAAGACATGATGCCAGCAAAAGCCTGATTCTCTCCACCACGCCGTCAGTAATACATGTATTACTCAGGGAATGTATTTTAATGATTGACAAAAACATGAGGAAACCAACACGACTTTATACAAACGAGTGCCCCCTAAAAAACGAGGGTGCAGACGATTCAGTTGTACAATAAAAATAATAACCTTGTTCATCCTGTTACCCTATACAGTCTGTACACATGTGCAAAACAATAGATACAAAACTATGCATTTGCTCTCTGGAGGAAAACATAATCAACAACTTTCAAGTTTGGAGAAAAGGGGCACGATTTCAGTACATTTCATTAGAGCTGGAAAAAAACAAGAAATGAAACCAGACGAGGCCATATGACAAATACAAAAATATTTCAATTAAGCTACATTCAATATATTTTGAGTATTCCAATGTGGTTTTACTGCAAATGACGACTAAAACAGAATGCAAGTCTTGATTAGGTGAATTTATTGCTTTTTATTGTTTTTCTACACGATAGGGCTGTGGACTTCATGGCTTTACTAAACAGTCATCTGTGGCCGTAAGAGGTTTAGCAGTCAGAATAGCATTTGGGCAAATCCCTACAAAATAATGAGAAATACACAGAATATGGCCTCGGTCAGTTGTTTAAATGCATTTTTTCCCCCAAGCCACAATTATTATATTGCATTGGTGGCTACCCTGGAAAATGTGTATTCTTGATATGATTTTAAAGTCAATTTAGTTGAGCTCATGGCTTTGGGAACAGTATCTGGACTTCCCTCTGTCAATGTGGGACCCCAAGGTTTCACTTTTTCCCCCCAAAGGGTTTTATTTAGTTGTTCCGATGGAGGAGGGTCTAAAATGTAAGGATATTTATGGACATTGATCCATTAAGAAAGAGATCACCTATGTCTCCTATCCATCCATCCATCCCATTAATCCATTTCTGGGTCGAGCTGCACCCAGTACACTTAGCACCAGCTCCTCACTGATCCTCCTGCAAAGTGGAGTTAAGTGTCTTGCCTAAGGACACGACAGCAGAAATCAGTGGGACATCAGTGAGAGTCGTGAAGTAGGTCTTATCGTGACTGAATGTCTCCTATTCATAAGTCAATTATTGCATTTCCTGTGTTCAAACTGTTTGATTCTCTGATTTGTTGTTGGTGAATAGACAACTTTGTTCTTTGAGATGACTGATGCTGTTATGATTTAGGGCTATATACAAATACATTGAGTTAACTTGATCCCAAATTCAATTCAAAGTCGGATTTTATTTTGGGAGCGAAAGTAGACGTCTGCAAAAAGGCACAACGAAGCCACACAAATAAGACCCTTCTTGTTCACTGACCACAACCGGTCCATCATCACCGTTCCAAAACCACAAATTCTGACAGACCCAGAACCAAATTACGTGACATGCTTTCGAGAGTGAAACTGCGCTCCACGACCTCCGAGTCAAAGAGGCGCCTGGTCTGATCCGCCGCCAAGTGCAGCGGGCAAACCACTTAATAGGCTTAAGAATTAGTCCGCATAGGAAGCATGGAGAATTACGGATTACGATTGGAAAGGGAGAACCCGAGGCGACACGGCGAGAGGAGATCAGGTTTAACAGCGGTATTATACGTGGTGTAGATCTGCAAAGGACCGGGGTTGTAGGTGTGTGGGAATGCGCAAGGAGACGGATGGCGGATGACAGCGAGTTGATTCAAAAACGACGCCACTAAATCCAGGAGGAAAGATTGCAGACAGGGAGAAGAGAAATACTGATGCAAATCGGGATTATTCAGATTTGCCATTTGTGAATGTCATGCAGTCATTGTGCATTCTTTTAATTTTGATATCAGATTGAGCGTTATTTTATTAAGGCATAAATGATAAAGACAATGGAAGGGATGGGTTACATTTTACGCCATAAAAATGCATTGGTTCTTGTGACATCCCGAAACAAGAACCACCAGTTTAACATTTTCAACATTGTGTCGGAGGGCGGCTGAAAAATTCTTTCAAGGTAACTATGATTAGCGTCAAGAGCCAGATCAATCCACATAAAATAAACTTTCTACTTTGTCAAATATGGTGCAATTTCTTTCTTATAAAACCTTTTCTAGAAGGTGTCATTATTCCAAAATATATGCATGATGTTGTCCAGTAGAAAGGACTTTTAGGCATTAAAATAATATGCCAGGTTTGTGAATTTTATCATGCTCAAACAATAATCAAGGAAGACATTTTCTTTTGGATCGAAAAGTTGTATTTTGGACAACACATTCTGTTGAGTAATATTGCCGTCTTCAACCATAACCTCTAGTGAATTCTTTTAAGACGTCCTGGTTCTCTTTTATGAAGGTGGTGGAAATGCACACTAATGCAATGTTTGTTTTCCGTCAACAGATTCCCAAGACGGAAAACATTTCAAATAGCGAACCAAGCTGTGGCTCCCACGAGGTTGGAATTGGCTCATGGATAAGTCCAGCAGTAAAAGTTATTAAAGTTATTATTACAAAGCTTCATGGCTTTAGATCATACTAACATGACACAATCTCATTCAGTCAGTTATCATGTAAGATTCATTTTGCATTTTTTCTCCTACTTGTTGAGCGTAATAGGGGGAGACGCCGACAATTTACGCACAAAGGCGATCACAAGTTGCGGCAACATAAAGGTTCATTAGAGACGCATTCCAGCACGTCTTAAAATGTAGGTTGTCTTGATTTACGTTTGGATTGGAACTCTCCGGGTCACTGCAACACTTTGCTTTATTTACAGTCGCAGATGCAGCTCACAGGAAGCTGATGTTTCCTGCTAGCGAACCACTCACATTAATGCACAAGTTACGTAACTTTAATCCAGTAACGTGCCTCGACAAGTTTCACCGAAGGCACGCCTCGCCATGGTTCCAAAGATATCAAAACAACTGTCATGTTATGGGGAAGAAACTAAAAAGTGAAATTTGCTCCGTTCTAATGGATGCATTTCATGTTTATTATCGTCTTGTTTCTACTTGCATAATGTATGGAAATCAAATAAAACGTTTAAAATCTGCACAATTGCTGGGTTTGCCCACAGAAAGATGCACCAAACTGGTTTTCGTACTTGTATGCCAAAGCATTTTCATGTGTTGCCCATTTTCATCTCTTTCCCTGTTCAAGTAATTACTACGAACAAGTTCCTTATCTGCTTTGCTAAATGCCAACTTCAGACAGAAATACCCTCCTTGCATCAGCCGTCAAGTACTTGTTTTAAGGCTCCGCAATATTTAGTCAATTCTCCCTCCATTTTTACATTCTTCACGTTTTATCACGTTACAAGGGCGCGTCTCCAGAACTTGTCTGAAAGTAGATCAAAAGCAAAAACAAAAAGCGTACCGCGAGAACATATGGCTGGACCCTTGCAGATAAAGCCACCCCACCCATCAACATCCCACCCGCCCGAAAATAAGCAGCTTTGTAAAGAGAAAAGATAATGCACGGTCCAGCACCAGTGTTTTTGGGTTTCCTGTCTGTACAAAAGAAGCGAGAAGCCCGATCCAGACCCGGTTTGCCTACAAATCCCATTCAATCTTATTGGTTTTTTACCTGAGCGGCCGGGACTGTGTAATGCCAAAAGTGTGCGCCACAGTTCGTGCTGGTGGTGGAGGTCCAGGCAGGGTTTGGATGGATGCTAAAGTGATCGAGATGAAGCCTATTGCAGGGAGGAAAACTTAGCACCGCAGCGGAGTTGGCATTTGTAGGCAACCGCGAACCTGCTACGATTTGTGGGCTTTCAAGCATGTGCAAGTATACAGATTGGTTTCCAACATTGGGATGACAAACAAAAAAAAGGTTGTAAATCTTCTTTACAGCCAAAAAATATGTATTTGAGTTGCATCGCGGAAAAAAGTTGAGCTAAAAACAGACACAAATTTAAGACTAGATTAGATTTCATCAGTGGATACATATTTATTTAAATATGTAATTAGTTTAGTTACATGAGTACTAGGAAATCTGAAAAGGTGAAAATGAACACCATAAAATTTGTATTGGTCCATTAGACCAGATGGAATTGTGGAATCAACTTGATTTAATTTGAGTTGACGTTCCACTTAATCTTAATATCAACTCTAAATACACTTGAAACTTTCTAAATTTATAATTTTGTCAATAGTGGACCTTCTATTCCCACCACATTGCATGAAACCAATGTTTATACTTGGACAAAGTGGAAGCTGAGATGTGATTGGCCTGAGACAGAGCTGCAGTTCAGCGCAGCGACAGCAGGTTTGACTGGTCCTCCTCTTGGGTTTAGACTCGAGACGAGTACAGGACTTCATATGTGCTTGAACAGTGGCTTTTGTCATGACAACAAAACACAAGACTACTCCTCTAACCATCATCTGTAGATACAAAACGGCCGTCTCTCCGTAGAGTCAGTGACCACACAGTAGATCAGGGGTGTCAAACTGGTCCTCAAAGGGCCGGTGTGGCTACAAGTTTTAGTTCCAACCAAGCAGGAGCACACCGGACTACAGTTTTAACCTGAAAATTTGAGGAAATGGGTTGAGTCTAGTGTGTGCTCCTGCTCGGGTTGTAATTAAAACCTGAAGCCACACCGGCCCTTTTTGGAACCGGTTCGACATCTCTGCGATGGTGCGTTCAGGTACCATCACGTGTCCCAGTCCATCTCTCGGCACGCTATCCGCACCAGTCTTAGCTCTAGCTCAAAGGCATCTGGCCGCTCCTGGGGGTTGGCCGACAGCATGTCCCGTATGAGCTGCTTCATGTGGGTGTTCATGCTCTTCTTCCGCGCCGGGATCAGAAGCTCCATCTTGGGGTTCTCCAGGAGAGCCTCCCCCAGCGGCACAATCTCCGAGCCCTGCTGAACGTAACTGCCCAACAGCTCCTTCTGCGTCTCTACGTCCACAAACGTGATCCGCTCCACCATCGCCCAGATGATGATGCCCAGAGCGAAGATGTCTGCCTTGGCCGTGTAGTGCCCCTCCCACACCTCGGGCGCCATATAGAAGTCCGTGCCGCATGCTGTGGATAGGAAGCACTTGTTCACGCTCGCCGGCTCTTCCGGATTCAACCCGGAGGTGGAGCAGACCTTGCTGAGCCCAAAATCGGCCACTTTGAGGGTGGGTTCTGGCGCCCCGGCAGCGGAGGGACTCTGCGAGATGAGGATATTGTCGGGTTTGAGGTCGCGGTGTATGATTTGGTTGCGGTGGAGGAAAGCCAAGGCGCTGCCGAGCTGGAGCATGAAGCTGGTGTTGGTTTTGCGGCTGGGTTTGCGGGAGAGAAGGTACGCATTCATGTCGCCGCCGTCGCAGAAGTCCATGACGAACCACAAGTAGTAGGCACAGCACGGGTCGAACGCGATCTCGCCTTTCAGCGACGTCTCCACCAGCTGGGGACACACACACAAGGGGTGTTAGTGATGGACAGAAGCAGGAAGATGCCACAGTGAGAAAAAAGGAGGCTTTATCCACAAAATGCAACAATAATTTTCAATGTAATAGTAGTAGTAAGTAAGTAAGTAAGTAATCTTTATTTATATACTGCCTTTTCACTGCAGATCAGAGTCTCAAAGCGGTTTACAATTGTTAATTATGGGCATTTGTCTCTCACTCCACACAGAGATGGGAGGGGCCAGTACAGGAGGCACATGCCAGAACTATTGGACATATATTTTTAGTAGTAGGGGAAACCGGAGTACCCGGAGGGAACCTACGCAGACACGGGGAGAACATGCAAACTCCACTCAGAAAGGACCTGGTCTGACCGGGATTCAAACCCAGGACCTTCTTGCTGAGAGGCGAGAGTGCTATCCACTCAGCCACCGTGCTGAGTAGCCACCGTTAAAATACCATTTAAAAAAAAACAATTCCACACTCTACTATTGTAAATCCACTTCCAATGTTTTCCCGGAGCTACTGTGCCAGACCTGCTCATCCGTCTCCCTCCTCTGCTTCAGTCCCTGCCTGATACCATTTCAAAGGTAATCGTGCATGTGGGGATCAACGACATGAAGCTGCAGCAGTCCGAGGTCACAAAGAAGCATTTTATGGATCTATTCCGCCTCCTCCAGTCCTCCGGGTTGTGTGTTTTTATCTCTGGTCCAGTCCCGACTGTAAACCGGGGAGACTGCTTGTACAGTCGCGTAGTGGCGTTGAACATGTGGCTCCAGTCTGCATGTAGCTCGTTTAACTTTTTTTTGTGAATAACTTTGGCCTTTTCTGGAAGCGTCACGTGGCTTATCGTCCAGACGGTCTGCACCCAAATAGATATGGCACCAGCTTGTTGACGGATTACCTACGCCACGTTATTCAGTGTTCCCCGAGGGGGGCGTGACTGTTTACATCGGAGCCCCCACCACCACCACCCTCCTCCTTCTTCTCCTGCTCACCAGCACCGGGTGAGTACTGTGGTGCAAACACTGACCCCTTTCCGTCTGGCAGTGAAATAACAGTCTCGCCTCTGAACCGTGCTGCCTCCTGCTCTAAACAACGAAGCAATGCCGTCCTGAATCCGGGACTTACACAGCAAAAGAGTTCACATGTTAGACAAATAGAAACTGTGTGTGTTCCTCGCATCAGTTTCAAAAAATGTTTTTATTTGAATGGAAAACAAAATCATAACAGAAGGACAGCAGTTAGACATTCAAATCTAATTCCTGCTCCTTGTAAAAATCAATTAACTAAACCCACTGTTACTGATATTAATTTTAAAATTGCTATGCTTAATGTCAGATCACTGTGCAACAAATCATTTTTAATTAATAATTTTATCCGTTCTTATGATCTTGATTTTATGTTTCTGACTGAAACTTGGCTTGACCAGAGTACAGGTAATGCGGTTTTAATAGAAGCAACGCCACCAAACTTCAAATTTGAATCTGAAATACGAGAAAATAAAAGGGGGGGAGGCATTGCTGCATTATTTAGAGATCGTATTATCTCTCATAGAATTCTCCTTGGAAATTTTCTATCATTTGAGTATATTTCTTTTAAAATAGAACAAAAACAATCTCCTTCTATTCTTATCATTGTCCTGTACAAGCCACCGCAGTCTTGTCACAATTTCTTTGATAATTTCACTGAGTTGCTTTCAGTTGTTTGCACCGATTTTGATAGTTTAGTGATTACAGGTGATTTTAATATTCATGTGGATAATGGCAATGACAAAAATGCAAAAGAGCTGAGTTCTGTACTTGAAACATTTGGTCTCACTCAGCACGTGAGTGGCCCCACCCACAGCAAAGGGCACACTCTAGACCTGCTGGTTACAAAGGGGGTTAATATTTTAAATGTAAATGTGGTTGACGTGGCTCTGTCAGATCACTTCTGTGTATTTTTTGACATGTGTTTTGATAGTAAACAACCATATATATCTGAATCTGCAATTGTCAGACACAGACACATAAATGAAAACACAACCGAACTATTCATGGGAATGATAAACTTTGAGAACACATTGTGTTCTACTGTTGACGAATTGTTTAACTCTGTCACCGCCAATGTTATAAATGTTCTGGACATCATCGCTCCTGTGAAGGTTAAAATGATTACAAATAAGCCAAAGGCCCCCTGGACTAAAATGGACTCAGTCATGGTACAGAAGAGAGAGTGCCGTAGGGCCGAGCGGAAGTGGCGAAAATCCAATCTCCAGGTTGATCATGATATCTTCAAAAATGAGTTGTGCAAGTTTAACAGGGTGCTACGTAGAACAAGAGAAATGTATTTTTCTAAAACCATTGATGGCTGCAATAATAATCTACGACTTATGTTTTCAACAGTTAACGGATTAACAAACCCCCCTGTTCAGCTGCCATTCGAATTTGCTTCAGAATCTAAATGTAATGAGTTTGCACAATTTTTCAATGACAAGGTTCAGAGCATCAAAAACGCCATCACCTCCAAGGCAGAAATAACATTACAACAGCCGGTGAGGCTGTTTGAGCTATCGCACTTTGCACCAACAGATAATGAAACTGTCCAAGATGTTGTCTCTAGCCTTAGTTCCTCCACATGTAGCCTGGATGTACTACCCACTAAATTTTTTAAGTCTGTTTTGAGCAGTCTTTTACCTTTGCTCACACAAATAGTGAACATGTCTTTCTCATCTGGAACATTTCCAATGGCCCTGAAAACGGCAGTCATCAGACCCCTCCTAAAAAAGAGGAGTCTAGATGCCACAGTTCTTAAGAATTATCGCCCCATTTCAAATCTGCCGTTTATGGGAAAAATTCTGGAAAAAGTTGCTTACCAACAACTTACAGAATTCTTAGTAACTAATAGTTCGTTTGATGCGCTCCAGTCCGGCTTTAGAGCCAATCACAGCACTGAGACTGCACTAGTGAAGGTTACAAATGACATCCGACTTAACACCGACAACAGGAAAAGTCACAGTTTTAGTAATGTTGGATCTGAGTGCTGCGTTCGACACAGTCGACCACGAGATCCTCATGCAGAGACTAGAGCACTGGGTGGGTGTCACTGGGACTGCCCTAAGTTGGTTTAGGTCTTACCTAGAAGACAGGAAATACTTGGTTCAGATAGGAAACTGTGTCTCAGATCATATGGCTCTGACCTGCGGAGTGCCACAGGGATCAATTCTGGGGCCTCTCCTGTTCAATATTTACATGCTGCCGTTAGGTCAGTTAATACGCTCCAACAATGTATCCTACCACAATTACGCTGATGACACTCAAATTTATGTCTCACTTACTGCAGGAGAACATGGACCAGTGGAATCACTCCATCACTGTACTCAACAGATTAGTGATTGGATGCAAAATAACTTCCTTCAGCTAAACGCAGACAAAACAGAATTGATTGTCTTTGGTCCTCAGAAACAAAGAGAGAGCGTTATTCGTCACCTCCAGTCTCTCTGACACGGTGGCTGAGTGGATAGCACTCTCGCCTCTCAGCAAGAAGGTCCTGGGTTCGAATCCCGGTCGGACCAGGGCCTTTCTGAGTGGAGTTTGCATGTTCTCCCCGTGTCTGCGTAGGTTTCCTCCGGGTACTCCGGTTTCCCCTACCACTAAAAATATGTCCAATAGATCTGGCATGCGCTTCCTGTACTGGCGACCCCGCTCCCATCTCTGTGTGGAGTGAGAGACAAATGCCCAAAATTAACAATTGTAAACCGCTTTGAGACTCAGATCTGCAGTGAAAAGGCGGTATATAAATAAAAACTTACTTACTTACTTACTCTCCCTGGAACCTGTAGGCAAGGTCAGAAACCTAGGAGTTATAATGGACTCAGACTTAAATTTTAACAGTCATATCAAATCAGTAACATCAGCAGCATTTTACCATCTGAAAAACATTGCCAAAATTAGAAACATAGTGTCTAAATCAGATCTGGAGATTCTCATCCATGCATTTGTCTCCAGTAGGTTAGACTACTGCAATGGCCTGCTCACAGGTCTCTCCAAACAGGCTGTAAAACAACTGCAGTATGTCCAAAATGCTGCAGCTCGAGTCCTGACCAGGACCAGGAAATATGACCACATTAGTCCAGTTCTCAGGTCTCTGCACTGGCTTCCTGTGGCTCAGAGAATAGACTTCAAAGCAGCACTGCTTGTGTACAAGTCTCTCCATGGCCTCGCACCAGGGTACTTAAGCGACTTGTTAGTCCCATATGAACCGACCCGGACTCTGAGGAGCACAGGAGGTAGCCTCTTACTGGTTCCAAGAGTCAGAACTAAACATGGGGAGGCAGCGTTTGAGATTTATGGAGCTAAAATCTGGAACAATCTTCCTGAAGATGTGAGGCTAGCATCTACTCTGGCAATTTTTAAATCAGGGCTAAAAACTGTTCTTTTTAGCTGTGCATACGGCTGAAGGATATTATTGAGACATACTCTTTTTTTTTTTTTATGCATTGTGGTTATTTATTATTTTAATCCCGTGTGTGCTTTTAATATTTTAAGTTTTTTTTTTTTTTTCATTATTTGTGATTTTATTCTGTTTTTAATGTATTTATTGATGTCTCTGATTTGTGTGATATTATGTGGGTTGTGAGGCGCTTTGAGTTGCCTTGTGTTGGAAAGGCGCCATACAAATAAAGTTGATTGATTGATTGAATGTCAGTTTTGTTTCTTTCTTCAACTTTTTATGTAAACTCCAAAATAAAAAGTATTTATACCATGATGTGGTACTGATATTTATGCATCTTATAGCATGACGAGCCATAGTAGACAGCGATGCACATCATATAATAAAACACAAAACAAAAACACCTTAAAATAAACAGAAGAATATAAGAAACATGACTTCTACTAGTTGAAATTGAGCCACAAAGCTCTGTGCTTCTTATCTGCCTACAGACGCGCAGACAACCTTGTACGTGCGATTGCATCACTCGGCGTGTTTTTCTCATGTTCCCTGACAAATGAGTAGC